ATGGGAGGTGTCATGGGAGTAGCAGGAGATGGCAGTCAGTATAAAATAGGGAGCAACTTGCATGAATAGAACTAGAAGCATATTTTTAGAGACCTGTAATTTCACAATTCTGAGATACAGAGAGTACTGAACACCATTTGGAATATTTAAATTAACTCAGGGACAGTGCTCAATGAGTGCTCCGTCGCCACTGAGTTACATTCATAATTGGGGAGGGGGTACTCTATGGTTCTCACATTCAAGACTACTTTATATACTCAGTACTGTATATACAGTACTCAGTATTATACTCAGTGATCCATAAAAGAGCAGCACCTACTACCTGCAATCATACAAATAGGCTTTTGTATAATGTTCTTCAATCAAGAAGGGCAAAAATGTAGACACAGTGGTGCCTCGCTTAACGATTTTAATTGGTGCAAAAAACCCATCGCTATGGGAAAACATCGCTAAGCGAAACTGTGTTCCCATAGAGATGCATTGAAAACCGGATAATCCGTTCCAATGGGAACGGATTGCCATCTTTAAGCGAAAATCGCCATAGGAAACATCGCTAAGCGAAACGCAGTTCCCCAACTGAAATGCATTGAAACCTATTCAATGCATTTCAATGGGGGGGAAATTACAACAAATTCAAAAAGAGTCAGAACAAAGTCAAATTAGTTTAACAAAGGGTTTATTAAGTGCATTTATGATTTCAAATATTCTAAACCTTTTAAAAACATTTTAAAAACTTAAAAAAACAGCGAACACGGGGCTGTCAAACACATCGTTAAGCGAAACAGGGAGACCCAAACTGTCATCGCTATGCGAAGCAAGGTCCCAAACATCGCTATGCAAAAATCGCCCATAGGAAACATCATTAAATGGAGTGCAAGATCGCTCCGGAAAACTAATAGTTAAGCGATTACATCATTAAACGAAGCAATCGCAAAGCAAGGCACCACTGTATTAGTTTCCACCAATGTATAAATTTAATAAATAAATAAATAAACAAATAAATAAATAAAGCAGCACCCACAGGTGGGTTTAAATCTCTCCTCCTTTCATGCTTGTTTTCCACAATCTGATTTTATCTTACTGACAAAAAAGCATGCAGGGCCTTGATATGGATTGGAACCAACACCCGCAGGTAGGATACGTTTACATTTCCCTACTACTGATGTTTGATTGTCACAATGTGCCCTGTTAAACAAAAGGAAAAAAGCTCAACAAGCCAATTTCAAACTACAAGTTGCTGAAGTTCAAACCTCCCCCATGAACAGTGGTCCCAAACGAGGGGGAGTACATGCTTAGATGCTCATTTGGCAGCACGTCCCAGCACACGGAGTGAGGCTTGCTCCAAGGTAAGTTTCTACAGAATCACAACTAGTTTTCACTGTCTCCCTGTCCAGTTGATAAAGTATTGTATAACCTCTCCTCAAAGCTGGTTAATCATAATTCAGTATTTAGTCTCAACTGTGACTACTAAGCACTTACTGTGTAAATATAATTGGGTTCCTTAGTTATTTGCTTAAATTTTTGCAATTCATTAACGTGATCATATTTTCCACCATTCAACTTTAGGAAGAATTTGGCTTCACTTCTACAGATCTCTTTACCTGCACTTTAAAGGCATTTTTGAGATTCCATACACATACAATCAAAACAGCAGTACTGCTAGACAGATAGTAAAACCGGGGTGGGGGGTGGGGGTGGGGAAAGAATGGCAAATTCAATGAAACCCAATGTTAGTTCTAATGGACGGATGATTGTGTTTGGTCTTTTGAAACTTTGAAGTATAGGTAAGTCTTGATCACACAAATTAATAAATCCTAAAGCTGGAGTTAACAATAACCATTACACCCAAATTCTGCAGCTTAGCCCAGGCAATTTTTCAAAAGGTCAGGTTGTGAACCGGAGAAGAGCAGGGAGGTCCACCGCATAGCTTTGTTGCCAGGCATCTCCCGCCTGGATTGTTGCAGGCGTTTATTAGTATTCGTCAGCCGACTCAACAAAGCAAACAAGAAATTCAAGCACGAATAATAAAATGAATATGCTGCTATATAACCCCTTTGTCATTCAGCAAATATGGGACTTTTTAGCTACATTGTTCCTAAACCTGGGTTACTACTTTAATTTTTCTCCACAGCCTTGAGTGAGTCAGTATGCATGTGTGTTAAATGCAGAGCTCCCTTAACAACTGCAGGACTGCCATTTAATCTGTTGGTAGATGGACCATTTCCTGTGGGAACTCTAGCTATGATTTCCAGATCCAAATAAATCTCAGATTAAGAATCCAAATGAAAGCTGCCTTTGGCAGATAAAAAAACACACAGTCAAGATGGCTATAAACAGTAAAATTATAAATTATCTTGGTGTTGCATGGTGACTTAGGTACATGGGGTTTTCTTTGTGTGTTGTTTACATTTTTCTGCAGTATCACAACAACACTAGGTATCTGTCAAATGTCACACTTCCATAACACGGGAGGCATCATTAAAACTGTTTGGCTAAGGACCTTGAAGTGTTTAAGCAGTAGCTCAAAAGTATATTTGTGCAAAGTAGAAGAATAAATTTACATATCAGCAGCAGCTCATAAGGGATGAGTAAATATTCTGTTTATCTCTCGGTGTAATTCGGGTTAGTTTAAATACAGGGGTTCAGGATATCATTACAACCTATATGGATTTATTACATAATTTCCAAACACAGTGGCTGGTGGGCTGTGACTCAGGCATCTCGGGTCGTCTAAACTGGTGTAAAAAGAGTAAAATAAATCCTACCATAATATACGTGTTTGTTTACGCAGGCAGATACAGGTCTGCATGTATAAATATAAAATGTTTTATTACTGTGACATGAGGCAATCACACTCTCATTATATCTGCTCTCATCAATTATCCAGCCTTAATTATCTAAATTTCTTTCTTTCTTTCTTTTTATTTGGAACAGGGTTGTGTCTTTGGCCACCCTTTAATTAAACAGAAATCCTTTCTGCCACCAAAATTTATTCAGGTATTAATGCTGATATAATAAATTTAGAATTTTAAAATTAGACAAGTGCATAAACATGCACAAATGCACCTGTGATAAAAATATTATATGCATAAATGAATTTGCTTTACTTTTAAAGGCATGCATGATAATAAAGTTAGCACCACTTCAGGCAATAATAAGCCAATAAACATTCTCAATAAAACTGTCTATTAAACATGCAGGCAAAATCTTCGATCCTCATTTCATCTCTGATGCATTTCCTATGGGGGACATGAACTGATTTATAATGAAAATTTTGTTGTGTCCTTATCTCACCTGCAGTAAAACTGGCCTCATGTAAACTCAGACTTTATATCTCTTGATAGTATTTTATCATCATTGAAGTTCTGTAATTAACTACCAGATATTTATACCATACGTGATAATTTTCCCAAACCTTATTTGGAAGTACAAACAATACATGACAACTCCAGAATTGTTTAGTACTGGCAGATACATCTGACTTACAGGAGATCCAGGAACATTACTTACACTTGAATTAATCATGACTAATCCAGCCTATTCCTTCCAATGGATCTACACTAAGAATGATTAGGTCTGGATCCAACCTAATGAATCTGAACAGTAAATATCAACATTATATCAAAATGAACAGATACAGTACTAGGAGATGCCAATGTGTATTTGAGGATAAACAGTGGCACTCTAGATGTCTCAGCTCGCTTTTCAATATAGTCAGTCCTCAAAATACCACATTGCACAGAAGAAACTTACAAGCCAAGTGCCACATTTGTTTGTTTATAGTATCATTTGTAGGCTGCCTTAGAAGAAACTTACAAGCCAAGCGCCACATTTGTTTATAGTATCATTTGTAGGCTGCCTTTCTCCCAATGAGGCTCCCAACATTAAAACCAGTAAAATTAAAAAGTAGAGATGGGCACAGACTGCTGGTTCAACAGTTCATGTTGGTTTGGCTGATGGCTCAACAGGTTTGGCACTCTGGCCACTCCAGTGGGTGCCCATTCAAAGGCAGCATCATGGCTTCCCTGCCCCACTTCTTCTGGGCACTGCCTCTGAGTGGAAGTCCAGCAACATTGCTATTAAGATCCTAGGTTTCACATAGTTCTATGAGATTTCATCTGTCTAGGCAAGAGAGCATAGGATTACAGTGGTATGTTAATCCACGATGTTAATCCGTTCCATTGAAATCGCTGTCTTGTGAAAACATCGTCTTGCGAAATGCAATTCCCCACTGGAATGCATTGAAATCCATTTAATGCATTCCAATGGGGACAAATCATCATCATTTTGCAAAAATCGCCCATAGGGAAGCCATTTTGCAAAGCGCCAATCAGCTGTTAAAATTGCTGTCTTGTGAAGCATCAGTCCCGAAAACACCCGTTTTGCGAAGCGCCAGTCAGCTGTTAAAATCGTTGTCTTGCAAAAATCGGTCCCCAAAAAAACCCATCTTGCGAAGCACGAGCTGAAACATCGTATAGTAAAAATCACCCATAGGAAACGATGGATGGATGGATGGATGGATGGATGGATGGATGGATGGATGGATGGATGGATGGATGGATGGATGGATGGATGGATGGATGCAAAGGAATAGGGATACTTCCAAACTTCTAGGCTGATCATGGTTTGATTTGGCAGCTTGAACAAAGGAGCTTTCCCCAACACTAGTCCTTTTAGGTGTTTTCAACTCATGTGATCAACCAAAGGCAGAATAGCCAATGATTAGAGATGACAAAAATTGGAAAGCAAAATATCTGGACAGATGGAGGAAAGCTACTGGAGGGCCTTAACCCACTACACTGGAAAGGTTTCATATAAAGCCGCCTAGAGTGGTCTTTTAGACNNNATCAAATAAATAAATAAATAAATAAATAAATAAATAAATAAATAAATAAATAAATAAATAAATAAATAAATAAATAAATACTATAGGTGTGGGTTGCTGGAGTACAGATGGTGTGGACTCACAACTGTGGAACGTCTTGCTCCACACAAATCACCTGACATGGCTTGCTCAGAAGGTCAGCACCAAGACGAGTGAGAATGCCCATTCTGTAACATCATCTTCTCCATAGTGGAATTCTAGCAAGCAAAACAATTATCTTTATGGGTTTGGGATATGGGGAGAAAACAGATACCTAGTAATTAAATGTCTGAGCAAATATTTAGAGAGAAGAAGTGATATTTAATTTGTTTACTTGTTTTACTATAAACAACTATCATACAGAGCCTGTGTCATATTCTTAGAGTATGGCCAGCCAGCTCTATAAGTCACTTTCATTTTGTTACGTATTGGTATCAGAGGATAGCATGAGGCACAATGGACAGGATTATTGCAGAATCACAATCTCCTCTTTGAGACTTAATTTGTGACACTCCACAACCAATAAGGAACAACTTGAGATCTTGAATATAGATTCAGTGTAGCTTAAGAAAGGAAAAAGAGAGGTCAAAGAGAGTGGAAGATGAAATACAGTATATTGTGAAAGAATTATTTCATATTCTGAAGCTGCAAGTCTAAACATATTTCCTTGGTATGAAATGCCACTGATACTAATAATTAGTCCTGGAATACAAGCTCCATACAAGCAATGATTTCTGATTTGGAATTACCAAACAAAGAAACCACTATTCAGTGGAATATTGTTGAAGTTGGAAAAAAACTTAGCTTCTGATATTCCAAGCAGATTTCTGGGGGCTTTAATTAAAAAAGTAGATCCCACAAGCTAGACATCTGCCCACATCTGTTTAAATGTATAAGACATGAAAAATAAGATATTTTGCAAAGCAAGGTACCAATTAAAACATAATACATTATAAAACATAATACATTATAAAACATAATACATTATCCTACATTGTTTCTAGACTTATTATTGTGAAAGACATGTTGTTATCAACGTAATTGTTAGCTTAGAATCAGTTAATATAAAACATAACTTCAAAAGGTCCTCAACAATTAAATAAATGAAAGTATAATTAACAATGCTCAGGTGATTTTATGCTCCATGGTGTTGAAGGACAATACAAAGCAAATCATTATTGAATTCAAGCTGATATTATTTAATATGTAGTGAGATGGGGCTTGCAACTGGCCTCTTTGAAAGCATTAACCTTTTGAACCTTTCTTAGGGTACAGTGACCCCTAAAGGTACTGAAGTTGAACTGGTTGCAGAAATTCTGAAACGTAGCACAAGTGATAAACATTCGCAGGGAGGAAAAGAGCTGATATAGATTAACAGGTAGGTGTGCCGGGCTGACAAATCTCCGTTGTGCCTCCTGGGAGATGGACCAGAGAAGATCCCCACGTAAGTATGGCTGATGGGTTTGTGTACCCTGCCACCTGTGTGTCCCTGGGCAGTACTAGAATGTCAGTACTTGCACAGCACTAGAATATCATTAGAAGGAAGAACTGATAAACCAATTCTGAATATATTATACCTAGAAACCTCTGCGATTATCAGCATAAACCAGAACTGACTTTATGCACATACTGTAATTATTATTAGGAGGAAAAATTGGGCTGAGGGATTGAAGGCCATGAAATGGGTATAATCTGTAATCTGTGCTCAAGATGGACTTTTGGGTGTAGCTGTAGAACTATTAGATTTTGAGTAATTTCCCAACAGATGGGTCACTTTAAGGTTGAAGGGTTACCTTAAGGTATCTTTTCCCATGTGATCAGATGAGCTCCTTTCCTGCTGTCTGATTTGACTCTAGGTTAGTTTAAAAGAAACCAAGAATCTGAGTTGTGCTAGACCTCTTGGAAGCTAGGAATCAGTACAGTATACTGTGCTGCCACTTGAGCAAACCACAGAAGGGTTTGGTAGAAAAGAAGATGATAAATATAACTTCTTCCTCTTGCAAATCTTGGTGAACAGATCAAGAGCATCCTAGTTTTCATCAAGACCAAAAGCAATCTCAGGAAGACTCTGCAGTTCACAGAATCCCAGAATGAAGATGAGGTACAGGGAAACTGGCACTATTTTAGAGTTGGTGATCTACAACTATTAGATCAGCTGTAAAGCTGTTTTAATACCATGGTCAAAATCCTATCACAGATTTACATTTGTGTGACAGAAGTTGCTTAAGCTGTTCAGCACATTCCCACATTAATTAGGTGCTAGACAGTGGTTGCATTCCTGGGTGCACACCCAGAACACACACAACACCTTGTTGATGAGCGGCAATTTGCTGCCAACACTTAAATTGTTTTCCTTATAGAATCAGAAACTGGCAATCAGATTCTGTTCTTTTGTTTTTTAGAGCAGAGAGGCATTCTATTCATGATTTTGACTGAGTATGGCATTCTTCAGAGAATGGTTCTGTTGATCTGATTGGACCTGTCTCTAGAGTTGATGGTAATGGGGTGAAGAATGGGTAATTGATGCTACTGTACTTTTTATTTGCACATACAGCCCACTGCTTTTCTTCGACATGAGGAAATTAGTGCAAGTGCAGTGCACTGAGAATTATAAATGAAGTCCATCTCCAGTGAAACACCAATATGGCCCTTCTTGGTAGAAAAAAGGCCAGAGTTGTTCTCCAATATCCTATTATAATTTGCAGATCTCTTCTTCTGCTAAAGATTTTGAAAGGGGAGGGGGAGAACTGCCTATAAAAAGTCACCCACTCTCCACATGTAGGTGCATATGTGATTGGAAGCAAAAGCATTAACTCAGGTATGCTGAATCAAACCTGTCTGCACTAGTATTGGATAATATGGACCACGCTGGATCAAACTTACTCTAGAATTCTGTTTCCCAGCAGTCACTGTAATACCTTTGGCTACTACAAGCAGTGCATAAGTGCAATTCACCCTTCCTGGCTCATGTTTCCAAGTAACTGATACACATCTTGATAAACATGGGACATATGTTGCTTCCCCTTCACCACTTGCTATGATTCCAGCCATTGGAGGTCAATTGATTAGGGCAAATCCCTAGGCTCAATCTTCTTCCAGCCAGCCCACCTCCTCTTGCCTTCCTACCAAAGGGAAGTCAGTGCCCTCACCCTCATCATATTCTGTGAACTGGGAGGAAGAAAAAGAAAGAGGAAGAAGAGGTAATCACTAGCCAGTGAGAATATTTCTGATTTGGGGGAACAGTGGGTTCCTTGTTTGTTTGTTGCTCCTCAGCTCGGTTATGGAGAGAAGGAATATCTGTCTGCATCCCTGCAGATGCTTGCTTGCCTGCTTCCATCCATGTCTGTCTCTCCATGAGTGTGTGTGTGAGAGAGAGGGAGAGAAGAGAGGGAGAATTTTTGCCCAGACCATCTCTCTGTCAACCCTGGCTCTGTTCATCTTTGGATGGACATCTATAATTCCGATTCACAGTCGGAATGGGCACCGGCGACCACTGCTCTTATTGCAATTGCTCTGCTGGAGAGGGAAACAAGATGTGAAGATGCTGCATGCACACTCCTCAGTTAACCTATTGCTAGTTCCCAACAGAGGAGGTCTATTGAATCAATAGGACTTATGTAAGGCTTAATGAGTCGTAGCTATTCAATCGGTCTGCTATGGTTGGGGGTAAAGTTGGAGTTTGCCCAGTGTCTTCACAGAAAAATATAAGTTGGGTTTAGAAAAAAAATATAGACTTACAGTTTCCCTACATACCCAACACTATTTTGACAATTGCTAGATAGCACAGTGGTTTGGGTATCTGGCTGTGGATCCAGAACTTGGGAGTTTAATTCCCCACTTTGCATCCTTGATAGGGGCTGAACTTGATGATCCATAGAGTTCCTTCCAGCTCTGCAGTTCTAAGATTACAGATTTTCTTATTAAAAGCTTTTATACCTACTGGCAACAATAAATGCACATCACTGGTATAGGTCCTGGGGCTATGTATCCACACCTCAGAAGCCTTTACCGTTTGACCAGGCCTCCATTTGTATTTCTGAGCTTGTTTGATCTGGCAAGGGCTTGCTCCAAAACTTCAGAGCTAAAAGCAGGCCAACTGTGGATAAATAAACTTAAAACAATATATGAGAACACACCTATACCTTACCCTTATTTGTCAGGGAATTTGCAAGACAAATAACTAAAAAAAGAATTTATAATAGGACAATAAAACCTGTTTATTTTAACATGTGACATTAAATTGACTTTTGCAGTAAAACAAAATTTTTTATCACACTTTCAGTTTAGATAGCAGTTTTCTTCTGTTATTCTACATTACATTTAATGGTGGTGTTGAGAAACAGATTAATTCCCATAGCCTGATCCCAACAAAAGTTAGATAAAACAGAAAGCATAGAGCAATTAAAGTGAATATGACTAGTTTTTTGTTCTTTGTATAACGCTTGCAGTATTGGGGCATATCATGATTGGTTTGGGCATAATCTTTATATGTGGAGAGGAAACACAAAGAGAATGTAATAGTCTCAAATTCACAACAATCTTATGGTACATTGCTATATTCACATTATGTAAATTCACCTGTTTATTACTCAGTGTAGGACTGCAGGGAATACTACCGGATAACAGTAGCATAAATATCAAAATAAGTTAATGTCTTAGGAAGCTCACTGTTGAATAATAAAATAAAATGCTACATTCATGGTTTGGGTGCACACTAAAGTAATTAATAAGTTGGTTTTTGGAAAATGAAAAAATATTATTTTAAAATTATAGCCAAGAATTAATAAACTGGGAAGCCTCTACTTGCTTCAGCTCTAAGAGTATCTGCTGAAAGAAAGCCAATCCATTTTAAGGGGATTTCTTGGCAAGGATGAAGAAAGGAAATTATCTCACACCCAGCACCTTAGTTCCTCACAAAAATCTTCAAATGAACCTGTAACTTTGGTTTTCTCAGTTCTGTGTAACTGTGTTGATTTGGAGTTGGCAATTCCCTCCCCCTAAGTTCTTCATTTACTTTTGGATTAGCTGAAAATACAGAAGGTTATTATTAATATCAAAGAAATGTGTTTTAAGCCAATGAAGACTTTTCCCTACATATTGCACAAAAAGGTCCATAATAATTGCAGTATTTTAATAAGGTATTCATTCAGCAAGAGATGAAGAAAATACAGTCTTTAATAACCTCTGGAGTATTTTAAAACATGTCTTAGGGCCTTAA